GGTTGATCGATGGTATGTTTTCATGGAACAAGGCTGCTTGGCCAATACCTCTTCCCAGGAGCTACCACCTAGTTGCTTATTCCCGAGTGAACTACCAAAATGGCTTCCACGGCTATCCGAAGACGAAATAGCTGAATCTCTGAAGACTGAACGGAAGAAATAAAAGAAAACGCAAAACATATTGCTCCATGGATGTTATCTACGTTTTGGAGACGATATCCTAAAACTGTGCCAAGAAATAGGCAAATAGAGGAGGCAACCTTCTTAAGAACTTAGAAATATTTTTAATAAACAATAAAGCAATTATTGAATTCGGCTTTCTTATGATGTGAAGAATTATGCTGATCTCGGAGGATGTTATCCACCTCGACAGATAAAAAAAACTCTACGCGATCTGCATAATTCTTCACATCATACTCAGCCTTCTTCAATGATGGTTAACTAACTTAAAAACAAATCATTTTGGAACAGTGGGATATGCTATAACACAGGACTAAAATTCAATGCAAGACCGAAACACTTTGAAGTTACCTGAACGGATTGGATGGTGAAAACAGGAAGGTAAACACGAGAATGACTACTCCAGAAACTTGATTCTTCATCTTTCTTAACAGACTTACACCCAATGATCTCTCCAGACAGGATTGGCTTTCGGCGTCTTCAAAAATGAGTTCGTATCTGAAGCAGAAATAAAGATTGTGAATTTCTGGGGATACTGCTTGGCTTAACCTATCTTCTAAGTTTTTACAATAATGCTGTGATATGTTTGTAACCTTTTTACGGGTTACAAAGACGATTGCCCCAAACAGGCTGGAGAAAAAAGGTTAAAACCCATGTCAAGTTGACCAATGAAAATCTTGAGCCACTACCCTTCTATGTTATGCTATTCTACGAACCTACAAGTTTTCCAAAAAAAAACGTTTCCTACCAAAAGAAATGAAGCCAAGTAAAAGCCCAAGGAAGGGAAAAATAGGAAAGGATAAGAAACGCGAAAGTTAAAAATCAAAATTCTGCGCATGCCTGAACTTTCAAAGCTGATATTTTGCATTGGGGACAGAAAACGTCGAAGTGATTTATGTACAAACAGCGTTTTGGGCAGGTTTTGTCTATTTTGGCCTGATAGTTGTACCGAAGACCTCTCGACTAGCTTCAAAAGATATTTTTCGGGAAAATTTCTAGGAGTGAAAAGGTTAATAAAGAAGATGACGCTATATTTGTTAGGAACAGATATAATTACCTAAATTCTTCTGGTTCGTTCAAGTAATCAACTCCATATTCCATTTCTCCAGGCACGTGACGTCCCAGCAAATTAATCGGGGTAATACTTGGATACCGCCCTAAGCCGGAGCCCGCGGTATTAGGGGCCAACCCGGTCAGCGTCACCTCTACCCTCTGTGCATTGCGCATTTTTATCCCACAATACAATCAATCTAACGCATCCTTAATTAACACTTACTTGCCAATTTCGCAGTGACTAGAGGGTAGGGTAACCGGAAGAGGCGTGGTTGCTTTCAGTATCAGGTTATACCAGAATTCCACCACAGCTTCATTCTGGAAAACCACACTGTGAGTGGAACGTTAAAGAGTGAAAAATTCTTTTCTGTGAGCAAAGTTTGAGAGATAGGACTTCTACCAGCCTACCTGCCAGTGTGTTCACCAATGATGGTTGGAGAAAATGTCACGTGATATGTAACTTGTTGCCTTGGATGCAAAATGAACGTGGGCTCACAGATAAAGCCACCCCTTCAATAAGTACATCGATAACCATAACAATCCTTTCACGGGGTGGGGTTCGTCACTGCCATGTCTACTGCCACTACGGAGTGTGCAGCACACGTCACTTCAAAGGTTCTCTCAGGAGGAGGTGCTGAGGCTTGAACTTCAATGGTGTACCATAAGCGATAGGTTCTCTGGCGTGAATCAGATGCGTGATCCTGAGCTTTAAAGGGGACAATTTGACCGTCTTCATCTTCCTCATCAACTTGTACCCTGAAAACAGCAGCTAAATCCCAGGCAAAAATAAATTACAGATGTTTGACTGAAACAAATAATGAGGACATTAACTCAAGGTCCCCACAGTGTCCTTTATAAAGGGAGTTGATTGTACTTGGAAATAATAATTATTCACAAAACAGGCCATGTTTTTTCACAACGTTACCACAAGTTCTACAGGTCAACATTGTCAAAAAAAATCCTCCTTGTTTAATGTATAACAGAACTGTCACTAAGATTTCAAGTTGGCAGGTGTATGAAATTAGCAGAAAGGAATTGAACAGCTAGCGAGTTCTTTTGTTTCTTTTTCCTTTTGTTTCCCATGAAAGTACATAACTGGAGATCACGCTCATAGTAACCAGGGGAAATCCTCAACCTCTGGCCCTTAATGCAGGCCTGGTAGAAATTACTGAACATCAGATAGCACAGAGTAAATACACTGCTAGAAAATGGTTTTTGTTTATAACGGAAGTGTACTCAGCTGTTCTGGTTAGTTTACATCCAAGTACTTCTATGCAATATTACAAGACAAATGGTACACCTACAGCATGACAGGATGAAAAACCCAACTGGCAGGAGGCAACCAACTGGCTAGTTACAAATGCGAAGGAGGATTTGAAGTTGACAAAATTGAGAAACAATACATGCAGCAATGATTAGAATGGGACTTGAACTGGGGCTGTTGGATTTCAAGTCTATCACAAAAGCTGCTTGGAAATGCTGTCTCTTGAACAGGAGACACCACATGAAAGAATTTTATCAATGGACACAAAAGTGAACCTAACTAAAATGAATTAGTCTTACCTCATCAGCATTTTCCACAACAAAAACAACAAGATCAATATCTGAAAACTTTTCCAGTTCCTGTAAACAGAAGAAAAATTCTTGTATCTTATCCCTGTTGCATGTACTTTATAAAAAGCATCCTCCCCTCCTGCGCGGTCATAATTTATACAAAGACTTACATGAATTACAGACTGTGAAAATTCTCTTTTCATTTGATTGGGCAGAAATTCAAGCTAAAGCAAAGAAAAGTTCCAAATTCATTTTTATCCACAAGATTTAATTATCCCTACAAGAGACAGGGAGATTTGCACAGTAGAGTACTGGGAGACTCATGAGTAATTTATCCAGAGGATTAGCACAAAAGTTATGGCATTCACTCTGACTGTTGGCGAAAGCCAGAAATCTTCTCTAAGGTGAAAATTAATTGCAGGGCCCACAAAAGAGTCATTCAGTGGTCCACGACAACTAACACGACAACAACTACATGTACAGTATACAGTTGTAGCAGTAACTTTTCATGTTTGCTTATGCCTAATGGGAAACTGCCAGGCAAGCAATCTTCTGAATAAATCATGAACTATTTCATGCATTAATTTTAATGACCCTGGAGAAGCAAAATGTGACAACTGATTGTTTGAAGGACTTTAAGCTGGAATTCAAGTTTTTTCAGGCCCTGAAAATGATGTGGTGAAAATGTTAAAAATTTGAAAATTACTCATGCAAGGCAATGTGAGCTCCATCTTCTGGAGGGTACCCACGTCTTGATGTGTTCACAACACAAAGACCAACTGATGCAAGTCTGTAGTCTCTAAGCCAAAATTATTTAATATTCACACAACAAAAGTATTAATAATATATAGATTTAGCCAGTGCTAAAAGCAAAGATCTAGATAATATTTATAGTTTGTTCAAACAAAAACTCATGTAATGCTAAGCAGCTAAGGCAACACTGGAGAACAGTGAAAAACAACAACACGTGCAGCACACTTTTTTTGTACATTTCGTTGCTGTTGTTTTGCACGATTTTTTGTACATTTCATTTAAAGTAAGCAGTTTTAAGGAATATATGCACACTCTTGTCTGTCCCTTGTGGAAATTCCAGATTTACATATAAACCCCCCATGCCTTCGGAATTCCAATTGTAAGTATACTTCCAAGCCTTCAGATTTCCCCTTGCCCTCAGATTCCAAAAAGCTGTCTGTGGTATGGTATGGATATTATCTGGAATTGTCCAATTTATTTATCATATTGGGCAGCAAGATGCAGCTTATTGGGATAGGATATTAAATTTACAAGCAAACCCATTGCAGGCAAAGAAGAGCACGAGAACCAGGGCTCGAAATAATATCCAGAGAGTCTCTGGACACGATGACCGGCCAAATTCATTTTAGCCTGGTCAGGTATTGTTTCTGGCCGTTAAACTTTATAACTCTTAAAACAGGGGCCCATGAACCAAAACTGGCATTATATTTTTCCAAAAAAGTCATTGCATAGAGGTTATAGCACTTTAAAGCACTCATTGTTAACAATAAAAATAAATTACAGCAGCAAAATGAAAATAAGCTTAATAATTATGTGCATTAATTGATAGATACACTGTCTATCATTGTATAACCTTTTATATTTATATTACGCACACAACAGATAAATTCAGGGTAAGATGAAAATGACAAAAATTAGCTTGCCCTACTTTAGTTTACTAGCCTGGAGCTCTGAAGAGCTAGCCCAAAAGTAAATTTGTTATTGAAAATAATCAAATTAAATTATTATGCAAAATAACACAATAATAAATTATTGATAATACTCAATGTAGAAAAACTAATTTTTGTCATAGTTAGTTCGACTAGTGGTTTTTTTTGTCAATGCTGTGTTCTGAGTGGTTGAGCTACTACTAGGCTATATGTTATAGCCTACTAGTAGTGAAAAGTGCTGGCTTTTTGGTTGCAAAAGAAGATTCAAGTCTAGCTTTAACAACCTAAAGTTGTTTTGTCTCAATATTTTTGACCAACTAGTTGGATTATTTCTCTTGCCCTCATGGCCTCTGAGTCAATAGCCTGTGAGGCCGAGCTATTGACTCAGAGCCCAATCGGGCTCGAGGAATAATTGTCAATGATAAAGGGTGACCGATCAACTCCCCAATCAGTTCGGCCATTGTCTGTTCACCAGCCGTTATTTTGAGCCCTGAGACCCAGTGAGCTCTTACTCTTACCAGAGTTAATAAAAAAAATAAGGATTCCTTGCTACATGTATGAATTACATGAAGGATCCATTTCAGAGTAGAGTACAATGCACATGTATTACAATAAAATACACACTAAATGCTCCATCACTGAAAGCATACCTTTACGCTCTACTCAAAGTACCTTAAAGCAAAAATTAATGCCTTATTCAAAAATTCTTCCTATTACTACCGGAGAATGTGACCGCTGAAATTTGACCCAAGATAGTGAAAGTGGCAAATGATTTTTTTGACAAACCAAATCTATGTTATCTAATTGGTCAAAATAAAATTCAGGTTAACATTTAATTTTTTTAACCTACCGGTAGGTTGATTCTCAATTTTCTTTGTATATCTAGCCCTAACTCATGAATAATTGGGGCTAGGAGAATATGAAAATTGAAAATCAACCTAGGTTAAAAAAATTTCCAGGTCAAGGGTACCCCCAAGATTCTCTTAATGACGTGATTATTTGAAAAATGAATCTAGTAGTTGCTCCGGGAGTTGTTCCTGCATGTGTAATGGGCAGTAAATATTTAACGAGAACTTCTCTGTATCTGGTCAGATTGAAAATCTTTGAAAGTTAAAATTGCTTTGTGGACATTTACATCAAATTCTGGGAATCTAAGCTGGTAGAAATGTAATAACTGCCTCATGTGTGAATTCATGGCGCAATGCACATACAGGAATGCAGAGATAAATCTAAAGACTATAAACACAAACAGATTCAACTTTCAAAAAATAAATTTGTTAATGGCATCCTTGGGGATGGGGGGGGGGGTACACTCGACCTGACCTGATTGTAACATGTACATGTACTATGGCTGTTTCCCAAAAATAATATGACAAAAACTAGTACATTGACAAACCTGACAATTTTCATGACACTTCTATAACAAGAGAAGAGCGCACTTTCAGCTGCAGTCTTGTATTTTATGTTGTATCTTGGTCCCACAGTATGGATAACATATCTACACACCAGACAAGAACAATTATTATTATTATTATTATTATTATTATTATTATTATTATTATTCAATTCAAATTACCTCAATGCAAATGTTTCACAAAAAAAAATAAAAATCATCATCATCATCATCATCATCATCATCATCATCCACAGGAAAAAAACTTCTTTGTGAAGCTATCGATCTAAGATTTTACTTGCATATTTGAAAGCTACTAGTCAGAGCTATGCAAAATCCAAAACTGTTAAAATTCCATCTATTAAGCACTTTTTGTGCTTCAGGTACATGTACATGGTTCAAATCCATTCTTGGGTTTAACCAGTACAGTGTAACCTCAATATTACCGACCTCTATATAACAAAGGACTTCCTCGGCATAACAAACAACATTTTTTGCCCCAGTAATAATAAAATATATGGAAAAGAACCTGGAGATAACAAAACCTTGTTATGATGAACAGATTTTGTCAGTCCCTTAAGCTTGGCCCTTTGTTATCTCCAGGTTCCACTGTATTTAACTTTGATTTAACTTATTTGTATGTTTCCTAGCCTTAATATTATCAATAAGAGAAGGAAACTCAGGTTTAAATTCTAAATGTACTTAAAACATAATAGTTTTCACAGTACACAGATATTAATGAATAAGCAGATAATGAATAAACTGATCTAGAGAAAATATTTCTTCAAAGACTTCAAGTACAGTGTACATACATGTACAGTTTAAATGTTTTACATGTACTTTGTGTTTAACAATTTTACATGTACTTCGTGTATTCACAATACATATAATTTCTGTGATGGAAATTTGTACCTCAAAAACAATCCTAATTACCACAAAACTTGCTGTAAATTTGCTTCAAGGAGCTACAGTGTACATCAACATCAAGCCTGAAATGGTGAAACTCAGACACCTTGAAAGTAACAGACCCTCAACACTCCAGGACATCATTGTGAAGCAAAAGGAGGTCATTTTTTTTATACCTGCACGTTTGATTGGTTTTGCGGGAAAAATAGCCAGCCATTTATGGTGAACATGACCATATATAGGGAAGTATTTTGAGTTTTTCCATTTGAAAACTTTATTACACACTTTTCCAAGATGGCGACCAAGTCAACAAACATGATTTTTAGTTTTAGTGCAAGTAAAAAACTCTTCTTTTAAGCCTGTGGCAGGCAGTGTTTGATAGTTTTCTCCTAAAAGATTCATTCAGTTGCCACAAAACTTAGCAGGCCTTATCTAGACAAGATGACAAAATTTGGCAGTGCAAGGCTCTACAGTCTGCTTTGTATTTTGGAAGTGACAAGGTAGTGCATTCACACCAGATTTAGTTTTTTTGTTTTTAATTGCCCTAAAATTGTCCAGATTCAATATTTTCTGCTCTGTAAATCTTTCTTTTATGGATCTATAGTACATGTGTGTCTTTTTATTTTGAAGAATATTTACACGTAATCCTTTTGAATTTAGAGGCAATTTTATCCAAAATGGCAATTTCAACCACACCCTAACTTTTCAAAAATTCCACGAACTCCTTAATAGTTATGCGAAAGAAGATGTAATTTTTTAATCCCCATTCACTTATGACTTGCATCCAAACATTTCACTTTATTTTCATTAAAATATTAATGCTTTTGATACTTTCATACAGCTAAAACTGACAAAAAAAATGCCCACATTAGCCTCCGGTACCATCCTATCAACTCACTCACCTAGCTGGTAAACTATATCCTTTTGATATTTTAGCCTCTCCAGTCCTACAACCTAGAAAAAATAATAAACAGGAATTCTTGACAACTAATTGATTATCATTGTGACAGTACTGTTTTGACTACTACAGTGCATCTCTGTTACCATTTTTCACTTTTTTTAAAACAAATTTTGTATAGAAAAAGAAACTACACTGTCCATTGACTGGTGTAGACTACGATTAGTCCCCCATTTTTCCTCAGGGATAGTAGAGCGTGTAAAATGCGAGAGTGCGTGAAAATCACCCCACGCGAGAAAAGGCGACACGTGGCGGGGAGAGCGAAAAATGAGGGACTACAGACAAAGCCCAAGCTTTTGAACTAATACGCTGCTCTCACAATGCAAAACTCTGATTGGCTCCTCCATGGAAATCTGTCAACATCTGTCAAAAATGCGCCAGCCGTTATCAACACTCGACACAATCACAATTTAAATTAAACAACCCAAAACCCTTATCTAGCAGCATTCAAGAACGTTACTTTTCAAAAGAGGTCAAAGGAAATGCTCTTGCATCAGAGGGCAAATCATGCCGACCATAAACAATAACCGCAGAAAATTAATATGCATGTCACGACCTCTCAGTATGAAATAAGGGGCAAAAATCACATTTGCTCAGTCAAAACGTTTTCCTCCAGAGCACAATCTACCCGTCAGAGAAAAAAAATTCATTGGAACAAGCAGCATTTTGCCATGAGTTAAAGTCGTGTGTTGCCTACACTAATATAGATTTAGCCAGGGCTAAAAGTGAAGCTCCCATTTATAAATTTATGATTTAAATCAAACAATAAACTTGTAATCCACAAATCAGTTAACTTAATGGCACATATGTGACTTTTTAGGGAAAGCTAAGGCTAAGTGATTTTAGAGTGAAAAAAAATCTTTCATCGAATTGATAGCCGGTATATATACACCCAAAAAATAGCAATCATCGTCGATCACATTTAAGAGCCATAATAGCTCTTGATCACAGTAGATTAGGCCTGGAAAACGAATTCATGGAAAAAACAAATCAGGCCAAATTTTTTGCGTTCGACAAGTCTACTTAAAAAAATCTTGCCAACAACTCTGGGAGTGTGTAAACCAACATTTCATACTTTTTATGCATCACATCTGAGGTGAAACAGTAATATGAGGCGCTGTTTTTATCATACAGACCTCAGACCGAATGCAGTATTTCACAATTTTTCAAGACAAATTGCATTCATTCAATATTCAGAACCGTACGAAGCACGCGTGGGCTTTTAGCAAAACCGTTCAAAAAATTTCCAAAATCACCTACACGGCCAGCCGGTTGTCACTTTTGACAAGCGCCAACTTTTCAGTGAACATTAAAAGAGTTACGCTTCAACATAATAAAGAATTTATTGTTTATTTTTTTTTTTATTTAATGGTTTTATAACGATGTACAAACGCGCGCATTTTGAGTACTCCTGCAAGCGTTGTCTGTGAACGACTGAAAACAAACAGCAAAGCAATTGCAAGAGACTACTAACAATCAATAAAAGAAATGTAATTCGGTGAAACATTTACAGAGACAACAATTTTCATTCACGAAGACAAGTATTAAAGCGTCTCTAAAAATCCTGAGTCTTTACGCTTAAGCCTAAAGCTTTTAGCCGGCTTCCTGGTGTTTACTGTTTTCAGAGATGAACTCGAGGCAAGAAAATCGCTCAAAGCTTTCTTTCTACAGCCAAAATTATAACTAAATACTCTTCGGAACGTTTTTTCATTCTATATGCGGAGAGAAAATATCGACTAAAGGCTTTTTAAAGCTCTGTAAGCTTATATATACTAGATCAGATCATTGTCTCAGATCTTAATACAAACGTGCATAAATTAGCCTCATAAACTGCGCTCGACTTCATGAAATTAGATATAAAAAAACAAACATACACTGTATACAATAATTACTCAGGCTTACCATTCGAGATGCAGCTCTTGAAAGCTATCAAGTAAGGCCAGAATCGCTTGAGGGACTTTTCAACCCCGCATCCAGCAAGGTGAAAAACGAAAACGATGCATCCGAAATCGGATTTCCAACTTTGACAACCGGCGCATTTCCCAACCAAAAATTCAATAAACAAACCAGCCATGAATCAAAGAAGACTGTTGATAGCAGCTGTATTTCATTTTAAGCATCCAGTGGGAAAAGACAGTAAAAAACATCACAAGTTGACAAAATACTCTGTCAGCTTCAGCTGTCAAAGTAAACAAGGTTCAAGATGCTGTATAAATTTTCTGCATGAACTCACCTGTCAAATTTTGACCAATCAGAGCATAAAAATTGGACGGTCGTAGAGCGTGATCAACGCGTGACTATGGTGAGAAAAGTGAAAAGCCTCTGTCTTCCCTGCTTGTATTTTTAAATGATTGGCTGAATTTTCGCGTCCGAGATCAGTTTGAAATCAAAATGTTAATAACGCGGGGCCATAGTGACATTAACACAACACTTTCTGTCATCATGCCATTATGTTGCTGCCGTTCTCTTTGCCTTTGTATTTCTCTTTCGCGTTGCCTTTGTCTGTTCATTCTAGCTCTGTCTCGTTCTGCTTACCGGCGTTTTTCATTATAATTGTCTCTCCTTCTTCTCGCTCTGACCCTTTCTACTTGCCGACTTTCTTCGCTAAAATGTTGTCTTCTTCTTCTACTTCTAACGCGCTCTCTTTGGCGATCGTCTTCGCTTGTTCTACGCGTGTTGACTCTTGCTCTCTGCCGTTCACCTTCTCTTTGCTCTCTGCTTAAAACCTGTGATCTACACGCTAAAATCTCTCTGCTGTTGTTTGTTGACATAATAGCTTTCTTAAGTTGTAATAAAAAGTTATAAAGGCTCTGTCGAAAGATCTTTTTGCTAAGTTGCATTGAAATTTCTTTTTTCAAAACCAGTTGCGCGCCGTTGCGCCATGCGATTTCCCGCCAAAAAATCTCTACTTTCCCATACCCCAAGAGTCCATGCGGACTACTTTCCACTACCCGGAAAGTCTGTACGGACGGACGTACGCTGACGTCATAACCAAAATTTCTTGGATGGGTAGTTTATCTTAGTCATGGTGCTCCGCTCGCGCGCGCAAGGAGCTCCGCTATCAAGTTCTTCTCGCGAAACAGCCGTAAAGAAAATTAGCATCTGGGTTTTCTTTTGCTTGCAATAATTACCGATGACAAGAGCAATGACAGCTCAATAAGGGAAGGAATCCAATTGGATGTACTTAATTGATTTGGAAGGGGATATGAACTTCACACTCCAAAATCAGTCGGCCGTGAAGGGTAAAAAGCTTGGGCTTTGTCTGTAGTCCCTCATTTTTCTCTCTCCCCGCCGCGTGTCGCCTTTTCTCACGTGGGGTGATTTTCACGTGTGCTCGCGTTTCGCAGGCTCTACTATCTCTGAGGAAAAATGGGGGACTACTCGTAGTCTATGACTGCTGTGGTATTCTGGTATGGAATACTAAGACCGCATGGCGGAATCCACAATTTTAGAACCATCTTCGGAAAAACAAATCAGTTCAAATTGTCAGGAGTTTCAAACATGGTGGGGAAAAACCAGTTTTTGACTGTGAGAGGGCAGTTAGTGTTGGAGCAAATTACTACCTAGAAGTTTGAGAGACTAGTGAGAGTTCCTCCCTTGTAACACTTTATGGCCTAGAGGTAATCAGGGCTGTTATTTATATAATTTTAAGGATGGGGCTGGGGATTTCCCCTGGCTATTAAAAAATATAGAACCAAAAGAAATTGCCAGTTGCTTAATTCCCCACCTACTTGTGTATTAACCTGACAATTCAAAATCTTAATGGCAGCCCTGAGTGTAATAGAAATCCTTCCAATGTTTTGACCATAAACAGGGTGGTATTATATGGTATTCCTCAAATGTATGCTTATGGTGTGTTGGGAAAACTGGACTCCAAAAAACTTGATTTAACTATACTATAATAACAATAATTATTTATCTAGGAAACTATGTTCATACCAAGTAACTGTGATCTACACTCATGTAACAGCTCTGGACCAGCAGCTCTGTGGATCCTTTCACTCAATACTCCTTTGCTACTGAGGGATTCATTTGTTGTCATTACTATCGCCATGGTGTTTAGTTTAGTTATATCACCTGACCTGGAAGAACCAAACATGTATTATTAAGAACATCTAGACCACTTAATAGTGTTAGAATCTTGATACTGTAGCTCAAGGGTAGTTGTGCATAAAATCTTCCAACTTACTTTTAAATTTAGTCATGCTCCAAACAAGGTAATACTGTGAAACCTGTATTAAGTGGACACCCTCTATTAAGCGGACAGTAGCCGAAGTCCCCAAATTTATTTCCCTTGTTTACTTTAAATGAAACCTTTATTAAGCGGACACCTTTATTAAGCGGACGTGGACACCTAAAAAGTACATGTACCTGAAATGGTCATTTCTATTGTTGCCAACCTGTATTAAACGGACACTTTCAATAAAATTCCACCACCCAACATGCCAGACACCAGAAATGCAAAAGATTTGCCACGAATTGCCACCCACAAATTTGACGAACTTATTTGCTTAGTTTCACAGTACAGTATTGTGTTCTATTTCGTTTTGTTTGTATAGAGCTTGTTTCACTCATCTGATTTCTTCAAATTTGAATTGCATAACAATCTATGTTTATGGTACTATGATCAATTTGTCCACTTTGATAAAGAAATTAATGCAAATGTATATCGTCATAGTCTCTGGGAGTATTCCAAACGTTTCTACTATTCATTTGAATGGTATTTGACACGTCATATGACGTTATCTGTTGAAACCTGTATTAGGCGGACACCCTGTATTAAACAGACACTACAGCATTCCCCGAGGGTGTCTGCTTAATACAGGCTTCACTGTATCTTAAAGCTGAGCACCTGTACAGATGCACTTTATGAGTGGAATGTCACATGTGTTGCACTTATAACAACAGCACGGGTTTATGAGTAACTGTGTGATAGATGAGAAATTGTTGGCTTCAGCAGTGTGCACCAGTTGAATCTGCAATATCGAACCTATTTAACCACAGAGTTCCATTGATTGCGTCAATATTCTGAGAAAGGTGAGAAAGGTAATGTCTTAATACACCACGAAACAGGATTTCAGTAGACTATTCTTCATGGTATTTACTTCTTCAATACGCATATATGAATACACGAAAATCAAGGGCCTTGATTCGGGGAAAATTTTATCATTGCCAAAAAGCCAAAAAGTGATCAACTAGGCAGGTCACTTCAATCATCCCTGAAAATAAACCACATGCTCATCACAAGCTGCATTTGCACAAAATGAAAGTCGTCGCGATTCTTATCCCTAGTTTCCACGGTCACAGCTAAGAACACCTGGGACCATGACTCCCCTCGTGTACTAAATGAGAAGAAAAGAAAACGGCTTGCAGATTACGATTCTCCGTGTTACGCAACCGCGAGTAATTATAAAATCATTAAGGGCTTATACCATTATACTGTACATGTAGAACAGCTATCAAAATGATAGAAATAACTTTCTCTATTGAATTACTCTGATTACTCGGTAAATTTATAAAACCAATACTAAACTAAAGAAAACTAATGGTTCACTAAGAAACAAAGTGAGCTATAAAGTTATTAGATCACGCTTTGGGAAGTTTACCCGTGTGCAAAATTAGCATAACAACACAGCGTACCATATAAAGCTACCCATAAGACGACAAACATAAACACTCACCAAAGCGCTACTTTACTGTTTAGGTCTTGTCGAACAGGGAATGGATTTTCGGTTCTCCTGCTATTTGACGGCTGTGACATGATTTCGTAAGACGGAACTGGAGTTTTGTACTCCATCTTGGAAGAGAAAGGGCATCCACAATTGGCGCTGTCACTCCAAGAGGATCCATATCTTTGTCTAATTCACTAGCTTGAAATAATTAGTTTAGAAACTTGCAAAAAGCAAGCTCGGACTAAGTTTCTGTCGTATTTCGAAAGAGATAAATTTTTCAAATCGAAATACAAGAACTTGAAGAACTTGCGAAAATGCAGAAGACGTAACTGCGAACGCATTAGGCAGCGGAAATCCACAAAACGACTAGTCTCTCGTGTAACATGACATACTGTATACAATAACATTTCAGCTTGTTCGAGGGTCTGGATGGCTTTGTGGTGGGGGGTGGGGGGGGCGGGGGTACAAATGTCAGTTGTCAGTTAAAATTTTGGCCATTTGTCAGTTGTCGGTTAAACTTTAGGCTTCTTTTCAGTTGTCAGTTAAATGATTATTAATAATTAACTATTGAACTTATTTGTTTATTTTTGATCCGAAATTTAGCTAAGTTCGAGCTTCTGTGGTACCCTTGTTTGAAGTAAATTAAACATTTAATTCGAAAACTGGTGCAATAGTACCTTTATTTTTATCAGTTTTGCTATTGAAAGCATTTTAAGCGGCCCTCCATTTCTCAAGTCTCGTGTTTCTCTCCTCCAACACAAAGGTTTTTGCTGACCAGCGTCTAACATTTCCAACAATTAAGCCAATCAAACTTTACACCCTCAGAATATTGGGACGTAGATCGCAAGAAGGACCAAGAAATTGACCGTATCTGAATCAGCTCAATAAAAACTTATAGTTGTGTTTTTAACGCCCTCATTAGCAACCATCGTGTATGCTCAGGACACCCACACAATCTGTCCACAATCTGTTTGTGAAACCGATTGTATTGTAATTTTATAGTAAATGTACTGGATTTACCGTTTGCTTCAACTATAGTGGTATATCGCTAATTAACAATTATTCCTCGAGCGCGAAGGGGCTCTGAGTCAATAGCCCATGAGGGCGAGAGGAATAATTGTTTAGTAATTTTTTTTTTTTTTTGAATTTTTAGTGATGTACTAGTGAGCAGCACACTTACACTTCCAGCAGGGCGGATAAATGTTGGGCGGTGAAACGAGCGCTCCGCTCTTCATTTATGTGTGATGCGGAGTAGGACTGGCACGAGCGCTCTTTCCGCGCTTCCGGTGCGCTTGAAGGCCGGCGAAATTTTCCTTTTTGCAAACCGGAAATCCTATTTTCTTTCTGTAATTTCAGGCTACAATCTTAAATAGATAAATTCGTTTCATAACAATAGCAATAAACAGTTTCATATGATTGTGTCTATACGTCTATAAGTCAAACTTGTTGGTCGTATAATGCCAAAATTTGAGTTTAATTTGAAAGTGTTGAATACCTCCTCCTTCCACTAAATATCACCTAATCGTCTTTCGCCGTTTCGTTTGCAAAAGCTTAACACTTCTTAACCTCAATTTTTACATATGTTAAAGGGGGATAAATTTTGTATAACATAACAAAAAATTAGATTGATATATATTGATATAGTGGCGTTATATTTCTTCAAACTTTGCTTCTCGGGTGCAACGCGCCATGGCGATTCGCGCAATGCGTTGCAAATCCGGCAACCGGATGTAAACAAAATTTATTGAGGTCAGTTGTAAGGTTTTTTCTCCGTTTTTCTCTCTAAAACAAAACAAGGTAAACAGTAAAAACTGAGGGAAAACTAATTTTGAAGTTTCGAAGAAACAGAAAGACGTATGAGATGTTTTTTTTCAAAATTAAAAAGAAGGATGATGGTGATTGAAATTAGCATAATTTCACCTTGCACGAGCTGCAGGCATTTATAAAATACACGTTATCTAGTTATGAAACACGATCTGCTGTCTTTTAGTTTTGCCATGAATGACATGGATGAGATTTTCCTTCGTTTTTTAGACAGTACTTAGATGTTTTTGTTTTGGAATAACATCGACACTGGCGAGTAGCAGAACGAAATATAATTCAGTGGTAGAGTCGTGGAAGTAATAAAAGAAACCCTTTGAAAGCGATGTTTGTCTACTCCAACTAAACCTCCCACAAAAAATAGCGACATTTGCCTCTCGGAGACAGCGTACCAGCACAAAGGAACGAGGAAGAAGTGCAAGAAAACAAATCAAGCCTCCATAATTCAGTGACAGCGGCAGTGTCTAATGTACAAACCACGTCGCAAGCCCTGACCGAAGTCGAAAACAAGCGACATTTCTAAGCAGAGTCCCAGTCTACTGCATCACACCTTTTTGCTCGGACGCGCTCGTTTCACCGCCCAACCTTTATCCGCCCTGCTTCCAGTGAACATTTACACTTGGAAGAAGAAGAAACCATGCTCGCCCGGGGCGACGAAAATTTTCGTGCCCCGGGCGAGAATCGAACTCGCGACCTTCCGCATACCAGATCGGACGTTCTAACCACTGAACCACCAGTGCTCTAGCGTTAGTGAAGTCGGAATTCTACTACAAAAGCAGAGTGTACTACACTTCTGTACTGGGAGCTGAGTGTATTGCACTTCTATGCTCAGTTTCTATGGTTTCTTCTTCTTCCAAGTGTAAATGTTCACTGGAAGTGTAAGTGTGCTGCTCACTAGTACATCACTAAAAATTACTTTAATGAAACTAGCAGAAGCCACACGAGAAACTGAGCATAGAAGTGCAATGCACTCAGCTCCCAGTACAGAAGTGTAGTACACTCTTCTAGTATATTAGAATTCCGACTTCACTAACGCTAGAGCACTGGTGGTTCAGTGGTTAGAACATCCGATCTGGTATGCGGAAGGTCGCAAGTTCGATTCTCGCCCGGGGCACGAAAATTTTCGTTGCCCCGGGCGAGCATGGTTTCTTCTTCTTCTAAGTGTAAATGTTCACTGGAAGTGTAAGTGTGCTGCTCACTAGTACATCACTAATAATTGCCCTAGATTTGATCCAAAAGAACATAGTTTATAACAAATAAAAAACCTCCGATATATCCTTTATTTGACCATGGAATAAATTTTCTTTAAGCTGCATAAATAAAAATATGCAACTGTTTCTTTCCCAGGTTACACTCGATTAGTTGGAAAACAGATTGAAAATAGGCTTTTTTTCCCCAACAACACTTTATTTCATATTTACATACAAAGGAAAAATTACAACAAAAAAAAGTAGCAAAATTACAATTTACAAAAGTTATTGAAAATTACAATTTAAAATTATCTTTACCCTTATACATGAAAAATCAATAACTCTTTTATTTTTTAACATAACATAGGCAGGTAACTGACGAAAACTATATTTGCTAATTGATTAATTATTGCACATCTATACGCACACGTATCCACAATGGCTTAAAAAAAACGAACAGACAAACAAACAGACAGAAAACTTAAACAGGACAGTTAAAGTATTAAATCTTTTAATCTACAGAGTGCCGCCTACAGTTCACTTCCACAGAATAGTACATTAGTTTTAAAGAGGGGAGGTTTTTAATCGACTTTGCAATTTGCCTTTCTATTTCCATAGTGCGTTGAACCATTTGTGTGTACATTAGGACATTTGGGCACGTATCTCTTTGTTTACAGATGTAGATATAATACCTGGCAATAAGCAGTAGATGGTGCAGTAATAAATCTTTTGCATCGCAATTAAGCCAAATAATAGAGCTTCTGAAAGGTTGAATTTTTCTACTTTGGAGGCGCTTTGCATTATCCATTGATAGCAGTCTTTCCAAAAGGCGTTAGAATATTTACAGCTCCAAAATACCAGGTTTTCCGTTGCTTCTCCACAGAAGGTGCAGGAGTCACACTGTTTAATTCCTATTTTGTATAGAAAATCATTGGTCGTGATTCGTCTATAAAGAAATTTAAACTGAAACTCTCTCAGTTTTGTTTCTCTAGTACACCAAAATGGTAATAAATACGTGCTTTCCCAAATAACCGTCTCGTTTCCTATTGAATCCTCAGCCAACCATTTACCTTGGCTTTTAAAGGGTGTTGAAGCCTTTTTTCCAATGAGGCGCTGATAGGCTTTTTTGCAGAATTTTGTTTCGGATAGGAGAGTTTTAGTCGCATCTTGGGTTTGGTTGTTTCCGTTAATAGGCGAGCATAGTTTTTTATACCTTGTTAGAGTAGATACAACTTTATAGTACTCAAAATAGTTAGTTTTAACTTTAAATTTCCTTGAAAGTAGATGTTTTTCCAATAAAGGTCCCAGGGGAATTTGACCCTTTTGTCGTTCATAAATTATGCGTACTTATGCACTCTTCTTCGAGAGGCCTCTTTATGTCGTAGGAAGGCTGGAGAGAGGGTTATTTTTAGCGGAGGGGGGCACGAGCGTCTCGGGGTATGGATACCTCCTACGTTACCTTTGGATAGCTACGGTCTTTTAAACCGATGCTTCGTATAAAAAGTAAAGTCAATCCAAAATTTTAATAGCTCAACTTGTACTGCCACCGCAAAATGAAATACAACTGCTGCCAAGTTTCTTTTTACTGTTTTTCAAAACTGAATTGTTTATTTGGTTTTTCGTTGAGGGGAGTGTCGAAAAGTAATGGGATTCATCGAAGGCTGCGTTTGTGATAGTTCTTGCAGGCTCTTACGGCGGATTACACTGGAAACTGAATCTTTTCAAATTTGTCTTCGGGTTCTTCCACTGCCGCCACAAAATGAAATCTAGCTGCTATCAAGATTATTCTGTTATTCGAAGCTGGTTTGTTTATTTTGTTTTGGGTTGAGGAATTTGCGTCGCCAAGGGATTCAACGAAAGTGGTAGTTGGACATGCTTACTTACTCGCTTACAGTAGCTGCATCCAAGGTGAGCCTGAGTAATTATAACCGTTTTTTCTCGTTTTAGTTTTGTTGTAAAGTCAGGCGAAATTAATTATTTCATGCAAGAGATATTGTTCTCTCTTGTTTCATGTAATAAAGATTGAGAAAGAGAGACGATGTCAATGGCCTCGCGTTTAATATACACAAACTCTGACACAAACTTTAATTAATTTTTTGGAAGCAAATAGAAAAAGAAAGGTTTTAGAGAATACCCAGTTCTAGTGGTAGCCAGTAAAAAGTTTAAGACAATTAGCGAAAGTTATAGCCGCAGCCTTTACGCGTTAAAGTTCCACACACCCGGTCCACACACACACAACTTGATTCCAAGCGGACTTTCTACAAAGTGAACTAAAGCGAAGTTAGGGAAACAAAGGATCACGAAGCGAAACGAAGCGGCAAAACGAATACAAGGTTAAGATAAAATAACTACCCGACTAAGTAAAACCAATACGGCAAAGGCGAAAGAAACAAGCAAGATACTTACAAGACGATAGCGAGAAAAGGCGAAACACCAGGAGGAGCTAAACAAACTGCATGTGGACAGAACCGAGGGCAACGAAGAACTGACGTAAACTTTTAAAACAGAAGCTAGATATACTATAGAAATGACGTAATAATGTATTTATTAAGAAATAAGACTGAACTTGCAAGCTAAAACTACGATGTCGGTGTGTAAGAATAAAAATAAAAAATAAATAAAATAAAATTGAATATCAGAGGAATATCTTTTAAGTGAGTTCAGAAAATTGGGCTCCGCGTCAACATTCTCAAAATATATTGTATCATATAAATACCTTAAAACAAATGAATAAATATTACTTTGAAATAAGAATAACTAAATAATAATAATAAATATGTCGCCTAACGTGTTCTCAATTAGTATTGTCTGCCTTTTTATAGTTACTGTCCTTTGTCAAGAATCAAATTGAATGAGAGAGAAGAGGGGTATTCTCTTTCAGTCTCTTTCCTCGAACTCCACTAATTGCGATTTTAAAATGCTCTTTGTAACAGGACGGGGCGTTCAGCGACAGGAACGAGAAGGATTCAAGGATTTTCCAAAGCAATTTATTTGAAACTCAAATCCATCAGCAACACAGCAACAATAAAATAAAACTGACCAAAAACAAACGGGAACTACTGAAAGATTAAACCTTGCCAGAAGCAAGTTAGCTTGTTAACTTTACAGCTGCTGCAGTTTCTTCAGTGACGTCCAAACTCAACTGAATTACGGCTAAAACCTGCCTCTACTTATACGAGAGTATTAAACAATTTTGCACGCAGCAAAACAGTAACTGAAGGTGTGTTGCCAAACCACAGTAAAACAGAACGCTAGGATTTCCTTAGGTTAATCCCACTAACTTACTGAAAAGATAAGGTCAATTAACCGACCAAAACAATCTACCGAAAAGAAAAAGCACGAAAAGTTAATATCCGCTACGGCATTCAGGCAATAATATGTGGGTTTTCGGGCACACGTACAATCATTCCTAAGCGATGCACAAGCTTGGTAAATCAAACCGGGAAATTCCTAAGCTCAAAAATATTAGGAGCAAAATAATAAAAAGAGTAATGCATTTCTTGATATGATTAAAAGTAGCGAAATTATAGGTCTAGTTATACCCTGTCACATCTTCAATAAGCAGAATCTGAGTCTTGTTCTAATGCAGTTCAGAACATCCGCATAGCTTTCTCTTCTTTTCTCAGCTATCAGAGAGGCGAGGGGGATTCGCTTGCTGTCTATCAGCTTCGATACCAACAATCCAAAACGTCGACATCACAATAGGAGTGAATGTACCCTTTTCCATTTGTATCACTCGTTCATTATGTGCTCTTTTCTTTTCTTTTTCGTGAGCAATATACACCTTTTGTCAACGTATGATGGCGCATTCGGGTGCATAACTCTTCTATCTAAGAATGTTCTTTCAAATGACCCCCAAACTCCGATACCTGACACATCTAGACGAGAGTTTTCTGCATTGTTTCCATTTCTCATCAAGTTGTTGTCAAGTGGCATGAGTTCAGGTTCAATTCTGACGTCGCTACACACTTCTTGCATCAGCTCAGCTTCAAGGTCTCTTATACAATTCAGTGTCTCATCATCACATACCCGCCTTTTTTGCATGAGGGCATGATTGATGTCGTTCTTAACTCCACATAAACAATAGCTAGGTGTATTTGGGATTCTCCAATCATATCTCAAGCAAATACTTATCCTGGTTTTCTCGATTGTTTAAAGTGTAACCAAGGGATTTGATTGGTTGGTAGGGCTGTTAGCCAGGATCCAGATCCCTTTTCTCTCCTGCACGCGTGCGCACCGAAATAAAAAAGTTACTAGTACCTTAGAGCATCCCGTTTTCAAGGGTAAGTGAGTCAAACTCATATTCAGCAACGCATTTTGCGTTCTCAAAACCCTCGCCCGCGACATTCAAGCCGTACCCGCGACTAGTTCATCCCGCATCCACCCAAGGAAATAATTTTAACGCCAATACCTACCTTTTGCTCTCAAGCAATCGTGACCTCAAAGTTTTCTTTTGGGCCATTACTCCTTGTAATTTCCTCTAACGCCCTTAAAATGCTTCTAGAATCCTCCAGTCACAGCTTTCTCTGTTCGTTGTGCAGCGTAACGTTATTTTTATAAATCGCTGGGTTGCCGAGGGGCCAGTCTGTTCAAGAAGATCAGATAGTTAATGAGCAGAGGGAAAAGAGGGAAAAGTGGAAGAAAGGAAGAGGTAGAAGGAAGAGTTTCTTCCCCCCAATCCTCACCCCTAGCTGGTTTTTTCCTGCTCACTTTTCTTTGCACGGTCTCATTTATCTGAACGCCGGAAGAGGTAGCTGGCGCCAGAAGACGACTCACCTGTGGCTACAAAAAAAAGAGGGGCATCAAATCTATGGCTGTCTTATTCAATGAAACAGAGCAGGCATCACTGTTTTGCCATACCCAAACTTAACCTGATGAAATGAGAAATCCTTCAAGATTTACAACAAATGTAAAGAGCCTGGCAATTAGGGACATTGAGCCAGAGGCACCCAACGAGAAAATACTTGAAAACCACTCAAACATAGCACTGTTAAACGTATTTTAGCATTTAGACGATAGATATAGGCATATTTGTATCCCTTGAAAATTTTTCATCTGTTCGGATTTCCTAGCTGAATCGAAAGTCTAGTGGTCCGAAAATTATAGGAATCAAAACTTACCTTGTCGAAAATTTCAGCCAGAAAAAAGGCTTCTGAAAATTCTAGGTGACCTTTTAAGGGTAAGAATCCGTTAAAAAATGGGCAATTATACCATTTTTTAGATGTTCGAAAATGCTAGGAGAGGCAGGCAAGCAAGAAATTTTACAACAAATGTTTCGAAAATTCTAGATCTCCAATCGTCTTCCGTCTTCATCGTGAAACAACCACTAAAATACTCCGCTGTCCTTTGGGACGCATCAGTGCACTGCAGGCTCCCCTTATAAATAGAATACACCACGTGGCTTTGATTTCCCTGTGTCAGAGCGCCGACCGCCGAGACGACTTATCAAGGTTCGCCCCACCTTCCTCCCATGGTGTTGGTTAACCTAGATCGCAAGAAGTGAGTCTGATTGTAAATCAAGACTAGAGGTCTCAGTTTATTAGTAAAAAACATTTCAAACACCAGGACGGTCAAATTTGCTTTTGTACTTCTTTAAAATGCTAACATTATTCTTTCAGTAGGTGCTGAAGAATGTTCAACGCGAAAGTGCTGGCCGATGGATGAACTTCCGCTTTTGTGCCAACTGACAACATGTGTAGCCTACATAACTTGCATCACACAGGTCACTACATTCAAATTTGTAAACAAGACGTTGTTGCTTGACAAGAGGTGGATTCGCTTCTCGCATTTTAAGATCGTGCTCAATTTTTTGGCTGACAAACGCTGGAGGCATGGTCGTGTGAATTTTGTGGCTCAAAATTTCCGAAGAATGCGATCGCCTTAAATTACTTTTTTCCCGGCTAAAGTACCCTGACAAACTTAGCCTGCGAGTAAACTCTCCATTTGGGGATATCGTGAAAAGTGGACGCGCGAGAGGCACGCGAGAGGAAACGCGAAAGCGGGGGCCGGGGAAGAGGGTTTGTTGCTCGCTCGCGCGTTCTCGCGCGGCTTGTTTCGCTCGCCCAAATAGGAGAGCTTGCTCGCAGGCATACTGTTTGAGTAATTGCGATGATAGAGTCCGAAATAACGGTGCTTTCAAAGACTAGTTGAACAAACATGGCCCGCGCCTGTTTCTGAGGATTTGAGTCACAAAATTCACAATTTTTAGTTCTTAACGCATTATTACACGTTACACATATAACATGCTAATTCTTTGAACTTTTTTACTTATTTTAAAATGACCGTTGATCGGTCAAAACGTCGTTTTTTGTCCATGACTTTTACTGTGTTAAGTTTTAAAAAAACTCTTACTTATAAGACATTCTACATCTATATTATATTGTAATTCCTGTCATAAATTCCGCAACATCTGTAAACCTGAATTCGAAAAAAAGGCTGGTATGGCCAGCCGAAATAGTGTTATGAAAAAAGCAATACACGTTGTTCTGATCAGCTTTGCAGTTGTCTTTGGACTTATCGTTTTTTGGGTTCTGAATATTTTAGCTGATAAGATCTCTTATTATTCATTCAAACTATTTCCCCGATTCTGATTGGCTAAAAGCACACGCATAATTCACCATAACCAGCTACTGATAACCAAATTTGGAAGAATTTTGCGATTAATCAACCGATGACGTCAAAAGTGCAGCTTTTTTGCAGGTTAATGCACCGTTAACCGAGAAGACCTGGGGACGAGGTTGAGTTCTTTTGGTTATGAAAACAAAAATGGCGGACATTTCACTCGTTTCAAGAGTAAGAACTAGGCGAAGTAATAGCTAAAAACATGGCAAGAACAGCAAGAAGACAACTCGAAGGGCGACATCTGCTATTTGGAGAATATTTGCGGAGCTCAACAACCCTAAACGTAAACTATCGAAGATGTTCTTAACATCGATGGAGGTAAGCATGTTTTAGCTATGTTTTTAAACTAGGAATTATTTTTTTCGGTAGTTTGAAAATTGGCCAGCATCACATAAAGTGGACAACATATTCTAAATTGTTAGTTGTTACCATTGACAATAAGCTTACGTAGTCAAGACACATTTCAGAGCTGAAAAGAAGATTTGTTAACAAACTGGAATCTTATTAAACGCTCTGACTGGTTACCAAGAAAAAAGCTTTTAGACCTATATGTTAAAGTCATTGTACCCTCTTTAACATATGCGCTACCAATTTGGGGGTATGCCACCAATAAGAATGAATTTAATACTATGGAATCTATACATTGCAGAGCCTCTCTCCTCCGCAGAGGCTCCTAAAAATAGCAATACATCGTGCCCCCCCCCCCCCCCCCTCCCTTTTTCTTTCTCCCACGTTCCTGCCACACAAAAACGCTCTTGCGGGATACCGGAGTGCAGCACTCCTAG